CAGCCATTAACTGAAACATAAGCTTGAAGAACTTCCAAAATTATAAATCACATTATTTTGCCTTACTTCTTAGGTGTAACAGCAAATCCCCTCTGGCAGGCTCTTACGTTTTCCAGAATCCGCAACAGAAATTTCATAAAATCTACAAATGAAGCGGGACCGCTGACTTCTTTGTTTTAACTGTTTGGCAATTCTGGCAATGATAATTGTCGATAATGATGAAATATTGGTAAATTTATAATTTTCTTTAAAGTTTAGTTTTTAAATTAAAAATTTTCAGTACGTAATCAGCTTTCAACGTTATGCATGGATGTTTTCACTTTGCCTTGATCGCAAATCAGGATTGAAGTCAGTCATCCTTGTTCGTAAATTTAACTCGTTAAAAAGTCATAACCAATTGTTTTGAACAATTCAGATACTTTAAGATGTAATTACAGTGTTCTTGATCTTACAGTTAGTTATTCGTATTTGCTGCTTTGTTTTCAGCAATCCTTCTTTAGAAGATTTACTATGCAATAGCTTTGCAAATCGCATAGCTTGCACTCATTTTGCTTCTCAGAATTTTCCATAAAAAGTGCAGAACAAAACTGTTCATTCAGATTATCAATATCAGAAACTTCAAAAACGTTAAATTTCATTTATTAGTTTTTCCTTAAGGAAAGATGAACGTATCCTAGAACTCACGAAACATAGTTGAATAATTTAAGAACAATTATTATTTTAACTTTTCTCACGAAAAAAAACATCTAGCGCCGTTTAACTTACTTTGTAAAGTCTTACAAATGTTTAATAATAGGTTAAAATATCTAAGCTACAGATATGTGCTCAAATGCAAACAAAATTACAACACGGCCTAAAATTTCACACAGTTTTACCATTTACGTCTGCACTGAAAAATATCTGAACCCGTTCTAGTAGGTATTAAGTACCTATGTCTATTCTAATCAGGAAAGTATTTGAAATAGAAATATGTTTAAAGCCATTCTGAAAGAGTTCTAGTAACATTTATACGTGGCTGAGTATCTTTGGCACACATGTTTGCATGTTTCTGAATCTCTTCCAAAAGGAATTAATTAAGAGAATTCATATGCATTTGAAACTATTCCGAACGGAATATCTGGATGTCGTACCTAACTGAATAAATGCGACATAAATATTCAAATAAGCCTGAATACGGAAGAGGTTAAATATCCTGAAAATACAGAATAGCGGAATTGTTATAGAGTAAAGCCTGAATACATTTGAATTTAGAGTAAGAGAATTAAATAATTACTAGAAATTATCCTGCCGGATATCTTTGGTCTAAATGTCATAACTCAATTAATTTCGTCATCATTAACATACGAAAATCCAAATCCTCTTTCCTGCGCGTAATTTTATTTTCAGATACATTGGAATTAAATATGTGTATTGATATATTATGTCTTAATAGAATAGATAAGTTTGTTTCGAATTCCTGGCACAGTAGCAGTTATTGATCAGTTATGAATCCGTTTAAGATCCGCTCATACCTTTTATATGTTACATTTTTGTTACATTTATTTTTGAAGAATATTGTTGAAGTTTAATATTTAGATTGTAAGAATTAACAAAATTAAAATATTTCGTTTTTTCAGTAAATGTGTCATTAAAGTAAAAAGAGTAAACATTTTTTCAAGGAAATTGAATGTTATGAATTTTTTAATAAAAATTCTCTAATAAATGAATTTTATAGTACGCGAATTGGCAAACGATGTAATGATGGTCTATCTAATTATATTTCTCAATTCTCTTAGCCGAAGTGATTAGCAATAAAAGCTATTACTAACTTGTTGATGAATTTTCTTTGCCTTCAGGGCTGACTGCAAATGTTAATGTCTTGGTCTTTTAAATTTTACTGCTAATCAACTTTCTTCTAACTATTATTTAAAAAATAATCAAATAATCTTTTTTGGGGGGTGAGGAAAGGAAGGCATTTTGCTTAGATCCCATTGGATGGTTTATTATTGAATGGAGTTTATTATCCGAATCTCCCATTGGATGGTTTATTATCCGAAATTTCAGCGATGTTAGAGACCAAACTTCAGATTTTTGGACGTGGATGCTACTCGTCTCAGTAATTATTCAATGATGCAACATTTATATGCTTTAAGAAGATGGGAAAACAGATGTTACATGTATTTACGCCTCCTATGCAAATGTTGTGAGGTTACTTTTTATCCCCACCACTCCTTAATTAACTAACCAGTAGCAAATAATAATTTATTCAAGCATACTAAGTACAAATAATATGATATATGGCTCCCATGGAATGTTTTATTTGATGAACATGCCGCACAGCGTAAGTAATTTATTTACCACTCGGAAAAGTATCGCCGATTTTGAAATTTTGTTTTTAGATCAGAAACAGTATTTACCATAAAGAGTGCTCGAATGTGTAATACAGTATTTTTCAAGTAATGTTTCCTGAATGATCCTGCATGTTCTTTTGCAAGCTATTATTTCAGGGACACCTATTTAAAACACATTGGCAAAGAAATAACCCCATGTTAAAAGCCTGGGAAGTATAGCTTCAAAATCACACGGTACAAGAGATCGGGTTATCATTTAGTCATTCTGTGGATAAACGGTGGTAACATTACTTTTACTGTTATAAGAATAGCATGAAAGCTGTTACACTAGCCATGAGGAAATATTTCGAGTCCTAATCTTGAACAAAGTATTGTCTATTCATGCATCACTTTTGCTGCAATTTCAGTACGCCGCATGTGATGTTAATTTAGATCATAAAAGGACACGATCTACACATAACTGTGATCATCCAAATAAACAGTATCATGAAACACACCAGGTAATTAAGTAATTAGGAAAGCAGGGAATCTGCTAAACGACATTTGAAGATTCTGAAGACCACTTTCTTCGGTATTACTATTGATTGCTGCATTAAAATATGTCTAACTTCATGTTTTCAAAGAATGTACAGGGACAACATAAAGTTAACTTGCTTTCCAGCATGAAACTTTAATATTACATTTTAAATTTTATTTCAGGAACATCTCTTTGAAGCTGCTGCTGGATACTAGTGTGGTAAGGGAAAAAAGTTAATAATTCCTTTCCGAAGAACTGATCTCATAACAGAACATTCATGAACTATCCTTAGTACCCTTTTATGTCATTTTAAAATAATGAATGTTTCAAGTTGATTCAATTTTTTGTCTTTTACTGTTAAGTGATGAAATGGAAATTATTATCAAGTTTTCGTTGGTATTCTTTGCATATGGGCTCAATGTGGATATATGAAGTTGCGGAGTTGCATAGCAGTTTTATTGAAAGGTATATCATCAATGTTTTCATCCAGCTTTAATATTAACTAGCTTTGGATTATGTTCGAATAAATCTTCTCTGTGAGAAAGAGATGTTTGCCGCATTGGCAAATCTTGAGTATTTATAAACTATGTGAAAAAGTCTTTAATGAGTTTAATTTTAACTTCATGTTAATGAAAGTTTGAATCGGTTGTGTAATTTATTTATCGTGAATTTTTGAAAAGATTTTTTAAATTAATTGTCAATAAATCTATATTTCTCCATGTCGACGGTTTTCAGACCTAACCCCAAGTAGCACGGCAACGTCGTTGGTCGCGGATGTCGTTGCAAAAACGTTGCAATATGTCGTATTTAAGACGCCCAGAGATATCCGCGACACTCCACTGTTTTGCAACCGTTGCAAGGACGTGTTTACTACGTCTTTGCAAATAAGGTTTATGTTGAATAGAAGTCGTTATTGTGTCTTTATCACGTTATATTTTGGTTGTGAAAGCATCGTATCACGAAATCGTAACGACGCCTAAATGTTCGCAGAACTCAACCTTTTTCCAACAGTTGTCTAAACGTCGTTATTATGTCCTTGTGTTACATATTGGTTTATGCAGAAAAATAAGCTTAATCTCTACATATTAAAAGAAAGAGTCTGTCTGTGTGTCTTTCGTTCGCGCTGCGCGTAAGTTAATAGACCCACGGCTACGAATTTGGTACATAGGTGCATCTAGACAAGAGCCAGTGTACCTCGAAGCGATATTTTCGAAATTCGAATTAGATTTTTTTTTTTTATTTTTTTTATTTTTGGTTTTGTGACGAAATCGCGTCATTTTGAGACACAATGGGCTGTAGGAAAGCGAGATTTTATTCTACACACTACATTTTCACATCGTCCTGAAACGTAGGCACTTAGCTACTCTACGAAGTTAAAATAATTTCGTGTTTTAATAAATCGATTAAATACGAATTTATTTATCAAAGGAAGCTTAACACCTTTTCAACGGGATTTTTTCTAAAAAAGTTTATTTTTCTTTAATTTTTGGACACGTGAAACTTTAATCCTTGCGACTACTTTTACAGAACAAATTTTGGAAAAATGATAATATTTTGTATTTTTAAAAAAAAATTTTAAATGAAGCTTCCGAGTACACTTCTCACATCTTTCAAAATGTGATTTTGGCAACAATTTTCCTGTCTTATTGTTGTTTATAGATTTTTGATGAAATCGCATCATTTTTTTAATAGTCTCATTCTTTTAGAAATATGGGTTTAGCAGCAATTTTTCGTCGTATTTCTTATGTCACTGTTTATAAGAGATTGACATATTTCATTGTCATTTATATCTGTGGTTTGAAGGTGGCAGAGTGGAAAGCATGATGACGCAATTTAGCACAACATATCTTGAAAAATCACAATCTTTATTTTTTCCATGCATATCAAATCATCCTTTTTCATATAAGATATTTCTTAATAATATTTGAATACATAAATTGCAGTTTGAATTAAAACGTTATCGTAAGCAGAAGCACGATTTATAAGCGTCTTGCCAGCAGGAAAGCTATTTGGTAAAAAGGGAAAGGTTATAGTACTTTCATAGCAAGAAGGCTGAAGTTTCAGTTCACACTTTTGGTTTAGATGCAATTTGATTGGACAAGAGGCATCTGCATTAAAACGTTACATAAGATAGAAAAGTCTGGAACCTGTGAGAAGAGATGAATTTAGGGGCAGATTACCAAATTTAGAATGTTAATTTTGAGGTCGTCAATTATTTTTTTTTTGAAACAGCTATCATATTTTGTTACTTACATATCCCCTCCTTCAAAAGAAAAGTTGGGTGAGCAGGATGGAAGAACAAGCATTACAGCAGCAAATGTGAAAGATATCATTCTGAAATACAAACATATTAACTTTTAAACAAAAAATTATTGTCATAAAATTTTGACCGATATTTTGATTCAATTTTGACATTTGACTGAATGTCATAAAATTTTGAATTGAATTATGAATCTTAGCACTATATTATTTTTAAACAATAGCATATTTTAGAATTCTGAGGTAAGAATGTCAATGAAATTTTGTAAAGTTCTTGATAGTTCCACATGGTAAAAGTTCAAATTTTTTTTCACAAACTAAATGTTCAAATAAAATTTTGCTGCTGAAAATATTTCTATTATATTACAAATTAAGATGCCAACTTTCATATTATTTAATTATGTTTTTTATGGAAAGTATTTTAATATATAAAAATTTTGTAAAACATCATTCATAAACACAATTGTAAATTTTTCACTATTATTAAGACATTTAAAATTTACTTATTCTTTACAAAACTTGAAGACTCCACAACTTTATCTAAATACTACCATTTCCACACAACTTTATCTAAATACTACCATTTCCATCATATTGGTTTATCAGTTGAGCAGACTGGTGTTTAATAATCTTTACCAGTGGCCAAAAGATTTGCCAAATTAGCAGTTACTGTAGAAAAGGCCTCCGTTCCTTCTGTAGAGGCAACTGGCCTTTTCCGAACTGCTGTCATTCCATATGAATATTAAAAACACACTCCATTATATGAAAAAATAAAAATATTTAGATTAAAAAAATGTATTTTTTTCATAAGGTGAGAGCCTTCAATGTTTATCATAAAAACATTAAAGAAATTCCTAGAATTTAAAATTTTCAAACAATAATTTCATTCTTAAAATACAGTAAAAATTCAAAAAAAAAATTAAACAATAGTACAAAAATATTATTCGCATTAGAAACCTTCCCTAGTATAACATGCCTAATTTTTTCCAAATTCAATAATTTCTTTTTCCCAATTCAGAAATACAAAACTACATTTTAAATAAATCATAATATTTTTGAATTATTAACATTGATCTTAAAATGACTTAAGCAAAACTTTATCATCAATAAATCATAATATACTAACCCACAAACGCAACGTTTTTTCTTCTTATTTTTTTTTAAACGTAATTTACTCATTTTGGAGCTTAATACCACTTCATTATCACATTAATAACTTCTCATAATATTACATTCTTTAGAGCACTGAAACACGCAAAATATGCACAAAACACTCTTTCCCTCTTGAGGTTGCTATCTTAAAGCACTTAGGATGTTTTTCTTTTTACGCGATGATCGGAAATGCATAAAATCACGAATATTCGAAGTGAGCAAGAAACATTAACCATACTTCACTACGCTGCGGCGTTGACCTTGATTCAATACACTTTTCACTTTTGAACTCACAGATACTTGATGATTTCAAAGCACGTTTTGAATATGCGTTAAATCACACACCGAAAACGAATTTGGTGATTCACTGGAAGTTTGGGGCAGCAGAGTTCGAAGAACATTGGGGAAATTTGCACCAGATTAATCCTGTCTTGACTTTTTATAAATATGTGATGATTTCAAAATGCGTAGATGAAAGCTGTGGAACTCTCAACAGCTTATACTGCGTAGATGACAGAGAAGACTGTAGTGGCTTGATTGGGAATTCAGATGACTAGTTACCTTTTTTATTTTTTACATTCGCTAAACGATAAATAAACTGCACTGAAGTTCCACGCCTGTAGGGTCGAAAATCGTCTGCGCCATATTATTGTAATGAAACTGTGGTTTGAAGGTGGCAGAGAGGAAAGCATGATGACGCAATTAAGCACAACATATCTTGAAAAATCACAATCTTTATTTTTTCCATGCATATCAAATCATCCTTTTTCATATAAGATATTTCTTAATAATATTTGAATACATAAATTGCAGTTTGAATTAGAACGTTATCATAAGCAGCAGCAGCATGGTTTATAAGCGTCTTGCCAGCAGGAAAGCTAATCGGTAAAAAGAGAAATTTATAGTACTTTCATAGCAAGAAGGCTGAAGTTTCAGTTCACAGTTTTGGTTTAGATGTAATTTGATTGGACGAGAGGCATCTGCATTAAAACGTTACATAAGATAGAAAAGTCTGGAACCTGTGAGAAGAGATGAATTTAGGGGCAGATTACCAAATTTAGAATGTTAAATTTGAGGTCGTCAATTATTTTTTTGAAACAGCTATCATTTTGTTATATCTTACATATATATGATACATTTTTTTGATTTTTTTTTTGATAAAGTTATTCTACAGAGTAAAATTCTGCGCAGAATTATATGTTTTTTGACCTGCTTTCATGTTATTTATTGCTTATTTTACTGTTTGTAAGATATTGAAAAGTTTTGCATGATTTTTTTTCTTCAATGTAAAGTTGGTTAATTTTTTAGTTAGGATAATTAATATTTGTATTAAGGGATATAGTTTATTTCGTTATAATTTCTTTCTCTTGAAAATATACGATAAAATATCATTAATTACACTTTGCTTTTCAGAATTTTTTGTTTTTTGTATTTATCGACAAAACTTTACCTTTATGTTATTTATGTTATTTAATTAAACTTTACTTTTATGTTATTTAATTAAACTTTACTTTTATGTTATTTAATTAAACTTTACTTTTATGTTATTTATTGCTCATTTCACTGTTTTTAAGATATTGAAAAGTTTTGAGTGACTTTTTTTAGGGAAGTTGGTTAATTTTTTATTAGGATAATTAATATTTTTATTAAGGGATATTGCTTATTTCATTGTAATTTTGTTATACGTAATAACTTTTTTGTATGAAGTTGTTCTGCAGAGCAAAATTCTACGCAGTTTTTTAATTTAACGTTTGGTGTTCCCTTCAGCCATTTTTCCGGTACATTTAAAAGCCAGACGAAGGCTGGCAGTGAAGCTGCTAGTAATTAATATATTTTTCGTCTTTTTTAAAATTTTGTATCCCTTGTATTTATCTAAATTTTAAATATTTTATCATTTCCTGAAAACCAGAAGATAATGTCATTTTTTCTCGTTAAACTAAATAAGCATAATTAATAATGGCTTTAATTATTTTCAGAGCTTTAAACTATATTTTTTGAATAACTTAAATTCTAAGTTACGATTATTTAAGATTTCATCATTTTTTCCCCTTAAGTGAGAGTAATTATGAAAGTGGTTAATATAAATATATAAGAAAGACTGAATTTGTTTATTATGACATAGACGCAGACCTTTAATACATTTCTTTATATCATTCAAATAAATTAGATTATGCGGACTAGTCCTATTTTCACGAAGAATTGTTATCCCAAATATCGTCATATATGATCACATTGGTGAGAGTAGGTTGCTGATGTTACATTAATAAACATAATGTAATACTATTATGCTATTTTTTTTTTTTTTTAGTTTTGAAACTTGATTAAATTTAATTTAAAGAAGAAATATTTGCTGGTGTTATAAAGCAAATTGAAATTAGGAATCGGGGTATTAATTAAAGTAATGAGCATAGCTTTGATTAAAGCAGCATTTTATAAAGTAATACATTTTGTGCAAAGTTTTTTAAAATATATTCATATTTCAAAGCAAAGAAGTTTTATTCAAGTATTTACTAAATTCATTATTTTGAACTTAATTATTGTGTTGATAATTCCTTAAATTTAATGGGATATTAATAAAACTGTATTGACGTTATAAGGTGTTTCCTCCCTCCTTTCTGCATGCCTTCGTGGTATAACGGTAGCACACACGGCGCGTATTCCAGAGGTCCAGGTTCGAGTCCCGGAGAGGGCACTGTCCATTCTTCACATCCCCTACTTTAACAAAAATTACCTAATGACTCTTCAGTGGCGCTCAAACTAAAAGGTGGATGATGATTCTTTACCCCTATGATTTGTCAACTGGATCCCCTTATCCCCTGTCGCCCTTTAAAAGGGGGGTACATAAGGCATTTTCTTCCTCCTTTCTGCATGCCTTCGTGGTATAACGGCAGCACACTCAACGCGTATTCGAGAGGTCAAGTTTCGAGTCCCGGCGAGGACATTGCTCATTTTTCACGTCTCCCGCATTAAAAAATCCTAATGAATATAATGTTTTCAATTTTTGATAACACAAAAAATGTGGGTTTTGTATTGAAACAGAAAATACCAAATTCGGCGTTAAGAGAATTTTCTATGCGGAGGCACTGAAGGTTTTAAGACCACACTACTCTGATTGATTTTTGAATTTTATTAAAATATTACGTAGGATGCAGTACTTATCTAAGAAACCTGCAAATGTCGAAATTATTACTGAAAATCACTAATTGAAATTAGTATAAATCATAGCACATATTTGACAAACTTATTCATGATATACGCATTATACACATTATATGACATACTCAATATGCACATTTATAAGCGTAAATATGCCTTAATTTCAGAAAAAATACCTACGATATGTATTCAGCCTAATAAACATTAATATCTGAGACCATTACCCTTAAGGCATTCCAAGTATAAAATCTTATTGTTTTTTATTTACGTTTGAAAGCATGTCATTTCAAAAACAATGTCATTTTCTAATGCACAGAAGACTTAACGTTTAGAAATTTTACAACCTGAATAAGAGTTGTTTTTAAGCTATATCAATATTTTCCCAACATTTTGACATTTTTTAATTAACTATAATTTCGGTTATTTTTATGTCTTTTTTGCTTTGAGAAAGCAAATAATCTTACAAAGAGTCTCTCTTTTTTTATGTTTACACGTTTGTTGATTTTTTTCATAAAACAAATTATTTAAGTATTTTCACAGAGATAGTGAGTTATAACAGATAAACACAGACCTAAAATGTACGAGGGTATAAATTTGCTTTTTTTTCCTTTCTATGTGAAATGTACCTTCTGATCATTTTCATTTCATTTCGATTATGCTCCAGCAGCATCTATTTGAATTTATTAACCATGAGTTAAGAAAGGTAGCCTTTAAAAATAAAACTTTAGAGAGCAAGATTTCTCAATTACGCCCCTTAAATTCCATTG